ATATATGGACGAGACTACAAAACGCCTATGGGCGAAAATGAATACTATTTTTGCTCATAGGCTCGGTGCCATCCGATTTTTTCGAACGACATGGATTAAAGACCATCACGGATATAGCATTCCCGTGACGGGATTTTTTCACACAAAAAATATACAGGGACCGCCATGGCTCCTGTAAGTCTGTGGCGGTTCACCTATAGGCGTTTTTAAGACTTTATATGGGTGTGCGTGCATGCGTGTGTGTGGATTGTAGATCCTTCTCTCTGAGCCCCACCTTGCTCTCATGTATTTTCTTCTAGTGCCAACTGAATTCATAGCGATGCACATTTTGTAGGACCACGACTTTACAATATTTAGTAAAGCTACACCTCAAAATCCTGGTGGAGAATGCAGTTGCAGTGCTAGAAATCCTAGTTTGGCCCTTGATTGCATGGAATTTAAAGCTCGAGAAAATGGTGCAGATTTGGCGGATGGAAATATTTTATTCTTATACTGTAGAAGGTGCACCTCAAAAAATCTAATAAAGAGTGTTTTTGAGCTGCAAAACCTTCCTATTGATCATCTTGACCTCGAGATATTTGAATATAGAAAAAAGAACTTCAAGTCCTAAAAATAGAGCATCTGATAACAAGTTGTCTAGACAGTCTATTTTCAAGATTTTCAAGTGTTTATAAATCTGCTCTTTTTGCACCTTTTTTCAATTTCATAATTAGGGTTGTACATGGAATTTCAAGGCATCTTAATATTTTTGACACTAGAACTACAGCTTTCGGCAAAATCTTGAGGTGCCTCTTACTTATATTTTATACAGTGAGCAACTTATGCAAAGCCTACCCTTGATGGATTTGTGAACATTTGAAATGAATAGTCTAGAAAATGTATCATAAGATTGAGGGGTTGAAACCCCTTTATTATTGTTATTATTATTAATATCCAATTGTCAAAGTTCACTACTAGCAGGTTTTTTAACACCAGAACTGCATTTTTCAGTGAAATTTTGAAGTGTGGCTTTATAAAGCTGTGGCTCTACGAAACACTTTCCTAATCCACAGCAACACAGTCGCATTGGAAGTTTGTACAAGGCCCCCCAACCCTTATTCATGTTCTTTCTTCCAATGTTTTCTGTCTTATTATTTCTTTTGGGCACCGTAATTAAGTCCTTTGTGAACTTGAATGCATTACACTCAGTGGTCATACAAGGAACTCAGGCTCCACGAGTAACCGATGGTGCACCGCTCGAAGAACAGGTATGTCCATGGATGGATAGTGTGACATCTGGAGGGTGAAGATGAATGAAGCTTTAGAAGTGATTTAAAATCAGAATCTGTCCCTGAATTGCCAAAGGACACTAGTTTTGATTCTCCGTACAACTCGGCCGATTCCCAAGGCAAATTGGAATATGGATAACAAAGAAAATATAAAGCAGACCCAAAAAAGATAAATTCCGATGATACAGGCTTTCTCAAAGCAGAACGACCTGCCTCCCAATCCTGATCTGACTTGGATGACTCTGAGTTATGCTAGTTTTAAGCGGTTATGGAAGACAGGTATTCACATTTTCGCTAAAGTTTTTGAATGGTAATATCTTCACTAATGCTTTCCCTTTTCTAAATCAGTCAAATAAAGGGAGCAAATGACCTGAAATGCAATGTTCCTTTGTTCTTTTTTATCAGTGTCTTTTCTCAAAGACGTGATAATATATTATGACCAGATTTGAGAGTCAGGTCTATGTCAGTGGAGATGTTTAGAAATATTTGGTAGATGGTGGGAAGTTGAGTTAAAACAAAATATTTTTTAGGCTGTTGGAATTTAAGAGTACAATTAGGCACTAAGGATATTTGTCATGATATATTCTCCTTAAGATTTTCAATGATATTGTTCCCTATACAAAATGCTGATATCATCAATTCACTCCCTGGGGTAAAACTTAGCCTACAAGTACATTTAGGAGCACAATTTTTAGGAATGTAATATCCTCAATCTAGCAACTAACTTAAAAATATAATATATAT